CAGATGTCTTTTCCTGCCTTTAATATTCACATAAAGGAGAGACTCGGTCTGTACATCTGCAATGCCTGGACTTGGCGGTGCTGGGTTAGCAGTTGGACTCGATGATCTTAAAGGTCTTTTCCAACCTAAACCATTCTGTGATCCTAAGGTGACCTCTGTGGGCCCCTTCCAACCTCAGCCGTTCTGTGACAGTGTCACAGGAGGAGTTGAAGCAATTAACAAAGGTGGGAACCATGCCACTGCGCTGGAAGAAGGGTAGAACTGTTTTTAATGGCATATATTCACTTTCCATTTCTTTCTTTCCCTACCCAGTCTCTCATCGCCAAGCCGAAAGCATCTAGTTGTGTTCTGGAAAGGAAGCACGCCTCAGCCGCTTTCACGCAGCCGAGAGCCGCTCAGCCGCGCACCAAGCAAACCACCATCTCCGCCTTCTTCAGCCCTCGGACAGGTAACGAACGTGGGCCCGCGTACGCCCCTTAGGGAAGCAGTTTCAGGCTGTAACAGGAAACCCAGCTCGCTTTATTTCTTGGCAGCTTTACTAGGCAGAAAAGTGCATTTTCTAGTGAAGAGGGTAAAGGTTAAAGGGTTGAACTCCTGGAAAGGATTTTATTAATCTAAATGCAGGCACCTTTTCCAGTGTTAGACGAAAGCGTACGTAACAGCAGTCACAGCCAGTTTTCACCGGAGAGCAGTCTGAACTCTCAGTAACGCAGCAGGCTCCGCTCCCTACAAAACTGGCGTGTTCGGTGGAACGCTGGGAAGCCCGGCTCAGCCCGCGGGCTGATACGAACCCTCCAGGTGGCAAAACATCCAGTTCTGGGCTGCCCGATGGCATCAGATAAAGGACAATCCCGTCGGGAACGCTCCTTGGGCTGGGGCAGGGTGCGGCCTGGGCAGGAGCCCCGAGCCCGCGGTGTCCTGCGGGCAGCTCTCCCTGCCCGGGGAAGGGGCAGCCAGGGCGTGCCGGGCCAGATTTGTTGTAAGCGGCAGCAGCCCGAAATTGTTGGTTAAATGCCCTGGGGAGAACATTACAGCTGGGAGCGACGATGAACGGTACCTGGTTCAAACAGCCTCCCCGTAAGGGGAGTCGGCGGGAGCTGTGCGAGGAGAGCTGTGTACGAAGGGCTGGACAAAGCCTTTTCTGCAGAACGCAATGTTTAATCCTAACCGACCCACGGACGGAGTCACGGGGAGCGGGGATATTTCAGCTAATTAAGCCAGCTCACAGCTTCTGTGCTTTTGAGGCTGCTTTTGTGCTCTGCAATACGAGAAACTGGGATTTGTCCGTGGGTCTCAAATCAACAAACACGGAGAGGAATGGAATGGATGCAGAAACCAGCAGTGCAGGACTGCGTGGTTGGTTGTGCATTGTAAGTGTGTAATGGCTAGTTCACCAGCATTAAACCGGTTTAGCAATGAGAGGAAGCATTACAGAAATTGTACAATTTCATTATTTGACAAAGTTGTTGTGTTGTGACAGGCCCATTGATGGTTTTTGCCTTGCACTTGTGAGTCCTACTCCTTTTGAATGTGTTGTGTGCTTTCTCCTTTTTTCGTTGATTCCCTCGATTGATTGCATTCGCTTATTCACTGTGTGGGTTTGGATTCATCGCATGCTGCTGCTCTTCATCCAGAGGTCCGTAGGATTTGAGATGCTGGAGCATTTCTTATTTGTGTGTTTTTTTTTTTTCTTTTGGCATATCCTGAATTGAGGATGAGCTCTCTTACATTGAGAAGTTGTATTAGATTTTATAGTGAACGGTTTCAGAAGGAAACGTGGGCCTCGATGCCTTCATCGGGCGGTGAAAACAAGCCGTGGCAGTTTCACTGTGGGGTTTGGGGGGGTGTTGGTTTTTTTTTTTTGGTAACTCTTGAGCTGCTGCTTTAAAGGGAAAATGTCACGGGCGAAGTGCCGGGACAGCTGAGGAGGAGGGCAGAGAAGCCAAAGGCTGGGGCAGCTGGAGATGCAGCTCTTGCACCTTGAGGGAAGCTTACTTTTTTGAGCTACTCCAACGTTTTCGGCTGCCGTTCCGCCACAGCCTCAGCAGCACAAGGACAGCTTTTTATGAGGCGGCGGCAGTGCCAGCCTGGCGTGGAACAGGCTGGGTGTCGTTGGTCAGAGGAGCGGGACAGCGGCAGCTGTGAGCCAAGCGCCACGGAATGGTGCTGCGGGTAGTGACTAACCCTGAGAAATGTGTGTGCCGGCTCTGGCTTTATCCAATTCCATGTTTTTTTCAGATGAAAAAGACAAAGAAAACTCCAGGCCACCTCCTTTCATCCCGAATAAAGGCTGTAAAGAAAAAGGTATTTCTTTGGCTGCTTCCCCCGTGAAGACCTTGGCTTTGCCACAGACAGAGGAAGCCCAGAGCCGCTCCTTCGCAGCCGAGGAGGGGACGGTGCAGGTTACGCCCCAGCGTCGTGCCCAGAAAGCGCCGGCCTCGCCGGCTCCTTTGCCAGACTCTTCGTTGTTGCAAGCGGAGTCCCGCAGCACGGGTGAAGCCTCCTGGGGGGTGGGAGAGGGCTGCTGCTTCTTCAGCTTCACCCAGGATTCGGAGGGCAACCGGATCATCGCCCACAGAAATGAGTCCCCGTTGTTCGCTGGGGAAGCGGTTCCAGCAGGCGGCAGGGTGATGTCGGACTGTGGGGCGAACAGAGAGGGCCGGCCGCTCCCCGAGGCGGCGAAGACCGGACTCGATTTCCAACCAAGACTGGGTGCAAACCAGAGTAGGAAACCACCCCAGTCGAGTAGTGTTCATTCTTTAATTGATTTCTCTGAGCCCGAGACTACAACTCCTCCTGTAACGAGGGACGGTACCTGGGCGGCTGGCTTTTATTCATCTCCACAAGGCCCCGCTCGAGCCCAGCCTCTGAGAGAGCGCAGCCACAATGCTGGTGCTGGGGCAGCCGAGGGCCGGGGCAGCGAGAGGGGACCGAGCAGCCCCTGCAGGCAGCTCTTCACCCAGGATTCGGAGGGGAACAGGGTCATCGCTCACCGCTGCCAGAACGCCCCACCTCCTCGCCGGGACGGCGGCAGCTCGCGCGGGCAGCTGCCTGACTCTCCGTGCAGGGGCTGCTCCAGCCATGCCGCAGAGGGGTGCTCGAGCGCAGCGGGGCAGCAGCGGTTAGGTGTGTGCTACGATTTACTGTTCACGCAGGATTCGGAAGGGAACAGAGTGATTAAACACTGGTAAGGCACCTTGAGCGGGCCGCCTAATGACCTCTCGTGAAGCCTCAGGAAAGCATGTTTTGGTAAGAGATTGGTCGGAATTAGGTAAGTGTCCCCGTTGTTTCTGTATGTGTGGTGTAGCCAGCACGTGCCATAGCCCTGTGCAACGGGCAGGACCTCTTTGTTCTCTGAAATTTTGCTTTAATAAAAATAAAATGTTGAAGGCGTACGTTTATAACGGTTTGACTGTTTCAATCATGATTCCAGCCTGTGTGGCTAGGGCCTGGCTTTAGTACTGCCCGGGGTTCACGTAGCGTGCTGCTGCTCAGCCTGAAGTGCCCGCTGCTGATGCATCTCTATTTCTTGGGATCCCACAAGTCGAAATTTAAAGGTTTTCTAGGCTCAGCTCAGGAACCACACCATCTCCTTCGCCTTGGCTGCCTCGAGGAAGCGCTAGGCTCAGCTGCCTGCTGCTTGTGCCAGCCCTGGAGGTGACGGCTGGGGTGCGGCAGCCGCGGAGGGTCACGTTTCTCAGCTCATGCCTCTGTGGCTGCGAAAGATGCGCCTCTGGTAGCTGCAGCTGGGATCGCAGCACCTAACTGCTCTGGCCAGAGGTTTAAAGCGAGGAAGACTGTGATAAAGGGAGGCATTGTAACGCTGCACCTGTCCTGGGTAAGTCCGAGCTGTAATCCTCTCACTTTAAGGTGGGGACGATGGTTTAATTTTCCAAGGGCTGGGGCCTGGTGGATTAAGAAAATCCTTGGCATCTGACTGGAGGCATCTGCAGCGCCACCAGCCAGCGCTTCAGCTGCAGCGGCTGAAATTCCACCCCCAGCCTCCCCGAGATACGATGTCTGGACACCTGCGCATTAATAATACCAAGGACACCCATTCTCTTATTAAGGCTCCATTTTATATAAAGGGAAAAAAAAAATCATACTTTAAATACAGCTGTGAGGAACACTGCAGAGAACGTGGAGCTGAAGGAGACCTTCAGTTAGCGAGAACTGCAGCCACAGACAATGCCAAGTTCCTTCGTCCCTCCTCTCAGATGACGGCTCTTGTGGGTGCTCGGTTCTTAGCATTGGTGGTTCAATAAATAGACCTTTTGAGTGCTAAATAAAATACATCATCTGAATACAAGGACTATTAATGAAACATTAAATTACTGGCAAGAAATTAAGGCCATTCTGTCATGCAACTGTGGGGATAATTCGTGAGTTAAGAAATACCCAGGGCTACTAAAACCAGCCAGCGTCCCGTAGACGCGACCGAGGGGTTTGATCGCTGACCGCGGTTTCATCCCGCCATCGGTTCGGCGTGAGCGGGACGACGCCTGTCAGCACGGTGACTCACCCACCTCCTCGACGCCGAAGACCTGGAGGCATTCATTAGCTGATTCTCAGTAGCTCTGTCCCATCCTCAGAACAGAGAACAAACTGGATGTTTGACGTCCGCTTATCCTGGCGATGGTAACTAGTTCTACTGTAACAAGGCCGTTATAACTTGATGCTTAACTGGGAACCTAAGGAAGATTGTAGGTAGAAGGAACGTCATCCAGCGGCGCTCATTGCACTCTTCAGAAGATCCTTATCAATAATCAACATCAAAATACAGGTGGAAAAGACCTCCCATCTTCTTAAAAAGTTTTTTCTTAAATAGAACAATACATGGCAAACACAGCAAATCCGCAGGGTCTTTCCTAAGTGTCCAGTGCGGAAACCATTTCTAATTAATAAAAGAGGCAAAAGGCTCGATCCTTAGGAAGGCAGCTACTGTGGAGAAAATCGTGGGAGCGTAACACTTCTGCTTACAGAGTTTAATGACGGTAACATCATTTCTCCTTCAGGGCCAGATCTTCATCCTTGAGGGCAAATTTTCTTCTCAGAACTTCTGCTATAAGAACGGCCGGGTCGTCCTCCTTCATTGAAGTTCGGGTTCTACATGGAAGACAAAAGCACGGTGCGTCAGTAAAGAGAGGTGCCAGAACTGGGGGTTTACAGCTCCGGTTAGAGCCGTTCAAGTATTTTTCTGCAGCCTTTATCATCGGCTTTTGTCGCAAGTGGAGGACGTGCAAGAACACCACCACAAACCAACAACAAGCAGTTAAAAATTCAGCCCTTTCATGTTGGCTTAGGAAACCTGGAGCTCATTTTGTGGATCAAGGGGTATCCTGAAAACCTCAGCATCAAAGCTCTCTATAATTTTTATTCAACTGTGTTCATAACAAGTAAGTAAAATAAAACTTCATTAATTATTTACAGCCTACGTCCCCTCAGTGTAAATCTACAAGTGGTGTTTGAGTTGAAGTCCTGGAAGCATTTTCTTCCCATGAATTTTGCTATACAATGGATCTACGCTTTCACGTTTAAATATGGGCAGTTACAGGTATTGTGAAGGAGGGCTGGCACGCGTTCCCTCCGCTTGGCTACTGCGCGTCCGCTGCGCTGCGCATTCCGTCACCAAAGCCTCGTCCCACCGGCTCAGACAAGCGGGTCGCGTTGGAAGCGTCACTGAGCTTGTTTTATGGGAAGCCAAACCCCAGTTCTCCTTCCTCAGCTATCGTGAATTGCTCACCGAGGTTTTGTTTAGAACCTGTAATAATAATAATTTCAGAGCTTAACTTTTTTTTTTTAAATAGCTGAGGTCCTCCCTTGGTCAGAAAACATTCTGGGTGTTTTAAACATTCCTAAAAGAAAAAATCTGCCCGGAGTATCTCCATATGGGTTTGGGAGGGGCTTGTTCTCAAATTAACAGTGAAGGCTTTTAGTAGCTGCGTGGGATGCCACTGAGCTGCTCAGGGGTGACCCTTAGTGCTCTGTCAGATTGGGCTGATGCAAGTTCTGAATTTACAGTTGCATAAATGCATCGTTAATCTAAAAGATGATTTGGTAGCCAGAAGCATGCCTTTGATTTCATCCCGACAGAACCATTCCTTCTGAAAAGGGCGCAGAGAAAGACCAGAGCGCAGGGGCTGGAGCCTCCCCAGACCCTTCCTTCCGCACGGGCAAACCTGAGAATCCGGGGTTCCCCGAGCATCCGTCAGCTGCCCCGGCGGAGGGACAGGGGAGACCAAAGCAGCCGGGGAGGAGGCGACACCAACGGCAGCGAGGAGAGGCAGCACTGGCACTGGCACAACAAGGAAAAGCTCTCCCAGGCTGAGCGAAGCGACCGATAGCCCCCAGCGGGGGGAGGACAGGACCATCTCCTGCCGGAGGGTGCACCGTCCTACAGCGAGGCACAACCAGCAGCGGACCGCGGAGCACCAGCATTCGGCGTCTCGGCCCTCTCTAGCCACTCGAGGGGCCAAGGAGATCATCACGGAAAAATCACGTTGTTCAGCACTGTAACAGTCGTACTTACAAGTGCAGGTGTACTCACAGTCCGAGCAGCTCCTCACGCTACCTGTCCTTAACCCCGCAGCGAGCGCGCGGCCAGCAGGCACGCCGCTCAGCCGCTCCCCTCGCAGAGGGCGTCACAGACACTCTACAGGCTCTACTTCGCATTGAGGGAAACATGCACATTCCTGCAAGCGTTTCTCACTCATTCCCGAAGCTTCCAAGGTTGTGTTTAAGCACCAAGTCCTAAATAGGAGCATCAGAGAAGCATCCATGTAGTTATCTCGTTAAGCATCATCAGGTACCTTCATCCACTTAAAGAGTACAGGAGCCTTTTAAGGTTACCAGTGCTGCACACCTACGCTAAGCACCGCTCTGCGTAACCCAGCGGCGCGGCTGCAGAAGCGTGGGGCTGCTCACACAACCGCACCCGCACCAGGGGATTGTGTCTAGGAACTAAAGCTCATCAAGAAATGAACATCAGCGATTTATTTAATGTCATTTTTCAACTACCTGTGATTCTTCAAACAAACAGCTTTAATTAAGCTGTAATAACTGTATCCTAAAATGTCCCTGTTGCACATAGGAGGCAAGTTAGAGGCCGAGACAGAGAAACAGGAGAGGACAACGGTTCAGCTCCAGCAAGAACCAGTCTCAAGCTTTTCTGTTGAATTGTTCCGAGCCCTGACCAAGCAGCAGCCACAGCAAGCGTGCCCCAGCTCCCAGGTAATCGGTCGAAGCCGTCGCAAGGGGAGGAAAGGGGTCTGGGTGGTTCAGTTCCTTTGCCCGCTGCACCCCAGCGAGGAGGGGTCTGGCAGCTATCCCCTTCCCCCCAAGAATTCTACCAAATCCTCGCTCTCCCCCCTCTCCTGTAACATTAAAACGCTGTTGGCAAATCCCTTCTTTGTGCGCAAGCCGTCTCCCTCCCACTCACTCACACAGCTGCTCTCCCAGGGTAACAGAAGATCAAACACCTTCACCCATTATTAGTTGTTCTCACACGTTCTGTTCAGGAAATGAAGTGAAATTGTGACCCATTACATCGCAACGTTCCCCGTCACCTACGCGCTGCTTTTCACAGCCTCCCCCAGCCAGCGCCTGGCTCCTCATGATTCGGCCAGCGCTGGCAGGAGCCTTGCTGGCACATCCAGGCGCGGACAAGCAACGCCTCGCATTTCCCTACCATAATCTCTATTTGTACGAGGTTTTTTTCCCCCGAATAACGCACGTTTCCCTATCTTCATCTGGCACAGATGGCCGTTTTCTTACCCTGAAAAGCCTGCTTCCACAGAAGGCTGACATACCAGCCTGCACTAATGAGAAGATTGCTAATTACATTGGTACAGGTGAATGCTTAGTCCCACCCCTTTCTGATAAAGAAACATTACATTCAAACATGACGTGTCGCAACGTGAAGCACCTGCAAGCTTTTCTGGCTTTAACAGAGCCAGGGAATGGCCCAGTTCTGGTCTTAACGGGTAAGATACCTACGGCCTAACCCGGAGCTCTGCTGAGCCAACGTGGCCCAGTCGCGCCCAACAGCAGGTATTTTTCTTGAGAATTCTCTCTCCCGCTGACTACTAATCCTGAATTATTTCTGGATGCCCAAAGCGCTGCTTTGCAACAGACAGGAAGAAAGAAGAGGAGCAATTCGTCTGCGGTCCGTGAATTCTACTCACCCCCAAGAAAGATTACAGGCATTTATATGGAGCAAGTGAGCATTCAAGCTTTGAGTAATATTTAACACTTAGGAAAAGAAGAGCAAAAGGGTAAGCTGTGTGAATTACGGACGTGTAACACCGTACTGGCGTTCTGGATGCAAGCTGAACATATTTCTCTCATTTGACTATATAATTTTTTCAGTGCTGAGAATTTAATTTCTTTTAAACTGAATTAGGCATAGAAATTGCGAACAGACATCACACAACATGTTATTTTTGGCCAGGAATCTTACTCACACAACATAATGTTGGACAGATCTTTGGCCTGAAAAATGTGGAAACTGAACTTTATCCCTGTGATCTCCTGTGTAAAACGCAGGCAGCAGAGCCAACGTTAAAGCAGCTACGTTCTCGGCTGGGCAGAACCCCATCTCAGCCGCGCAGCAGCTGGCGTGTCAGCAGCTTGAGGCCTTCTCAAGATCGATGTGTAAACCCATCATGAGACAAGCGAAAACTCGCTCTGCCCACGCGCAGAGCTGGGCCAGGTGCAAAAGCTGAGAAGCTGAAAAGCTCCGCGTGTTCATTCCTGCATGTGCCGTGCTGAAAAAGCTGCTGGGCTTCCCAAGCTTCTGAGCACCAGCACCGGGAACTGCTGCCCGCAGAGCGTGCGGCGCGACCCTCGCTCTGACGGCTGCCGATACATTTGGGCCTGGTTCTCATCTGGGCAAACGCAAGCTTTTTTTCAGGTGAACAAGCTGAAGCAGCCAGACATTGTGCTCAAGTTCCCCTCCATTGCTTTCTACCCAGGCAGGTCAACCGTCCTTAAACAAACCCCCAGAAACGTTAAGTGTTAGCAACTTCTGCTCTAAACGGGTATTTCCCCCCGGTGAATCATGAGTATGCAGCAGCACCAACAAGCAGTGGATGCAATGCCCAGTGTCTACAATCATTTGACAGAGGAAAAAAGAGAGAAAATAAAATGAAGAGAGTTCAGGAAGCACTTACAAGTCTTTGCTCTGCTTCATCCTATGAATGTCTTTAAGAATGCCCATCATATCTGCAAAACTGCTGGCCTTTGACAGAGAGACGGAATCTTCCTCGTCGGGATCCTTTGGTTCGGGTTTGCAACACTCGGAGGCGGCAGAACAAAGCATGGAGACGGACGGGAGCTCGGGGCTTTCGAGTTCCGCCTCCTCCTCTGTGATATCGCTAATGACAAAGGAAGTTGTAGATTGGAAAGAGGGTCCGAAACAAGGTACAGGAGAAGACGCATTTGAACTTCCTGGAGATAATAAATCTGGTGTTAACGCAGCAGAGGCTGAAAAAGAAAACAATATAGGTGGATAGATAAACTAATACCAAACCACGTAGGTATTTTTTCCCCCAAACAACAGAATATAAATCAAGAGGCATCATCAGCCAGCCTCCCCCATGCTATGAGAAAACAAATTCATCCTGTTCTGCTACCCTCCACTCTGCTGCCCATGACCCCATGTTGCAACACGCGACCTCCTCCAGTACCTTTTATCCCACCGACCCCCGTACGTCTCTCTGCTCCTACCGTGCCCATCACCGTATCACCCCTCCAGTTCAAACGCTGTGCCCCGTCCCTGCAGAGGTCAGGCAGTGTTTACTTTTTCCATTTTTACGGGTAAGAAATGGAGGAACAGGGATTTAGCGACTGCTCAGGGTCACAGAGGGAGCCTGTGTCAGCACGGAGCTCTTAATTGTCTTAACTTTTTTCCTCTTTTTCTTCCTCGCCTTGAGAACTCCTTGCCTTTCTTTTCCTTCAGGCTCCTTCCCCCATCACCGCTCTGCCTGGTGCGAATGCGGAGCTGGTTCAGGAGCTCCAGCATTTTACCCCAGACGGTCACAGCAATTCCCTCTGTGACTGGGGGCATTTTGACCTGTTTGGCTTTCCATCGCCATCTGTAGAATGAGAACAGCGGCCACCTATTCCACAGGGAAGATGGGATTTATTTGTTCAGGCTTTAAAATGCAGTGAGGATAAGAACAGCTATATCAATTCCGAGTGTTATTACGTGGAAATGAGTTAGATATTTCCAGTGTAAAACACTAAGGGAAAACAACCAAAAACCCAGAAAAATGCTTAGTGTGCATCGCCGTGAAAGAACCTTCCTGTACTGAAGACAAACTGTACCTTAAAGCACGAAGGCCCTTGGCCTCGAGAGCAAACTTGTAGATAGTTATCAATTTCCAATTCAGGGATTTCTCTCATGGTATATAATAAAGCAGATTGCACAATATTTCTTTTTTGACATCAATCATCTTTCCAAAATAAGCCTGCTAAATAGTTATCATCTCCTTCATCAGATTACTGAGCTACTGCCAGGCCCTAAATCACCGCTCCCCATTACTGACCGAGAGGCCGCGAAGGCAATAGGAACTGTTCTCAAATGCCAGCTGATAGCAACCAGGCGCGCTGCTGGGTAGGGGGAGAGAAAAAGGTATTGCACGATTAAATCATTTTTCTCCCATCTGGATCTCTAATTTTCCTCATTATTGCTCTCCCTGAATTAAAACAGACTTTTCTAGCACACAGCTTGAGCAACTGCAGAGCCGAGACAGAACTCGGACGGAAAAAATCACAGGATCTCCCCGTTCTTTCTTCCAATTCGGTTGCTCCTCTGATCTTGCACCAAGACGACAGAGGGCACGCGCGGCCTCCCTAAGGGGACATCTGCGATGCCTCCTTTCACGCCTGTTCCCCGCAGAGTTGAGGGCAACGTGGCTCCCTCACCCGCAGCGTGCCTTCGTTTTACCACGTGGCACACAGGATCCCGTGTACTGCGACAGGACCACAGACCACCAGAAACACCAGCACGTGCATTATCGCACAACAGCCCTTTACCACGGAAGTGAAGAAATATCTCATCTAAATACGACTTCACGTGCTAGAAACATCACACATGTTCTCATGTGGTGGCACCTATCTTCACACTATTGATAGCAAACAGAGTCCACTGACCATCACACAGAACTGAAGAAGAACCCAAATCTCTCACGTAGAAACCAGCATTTCAGCTAAATTAAGCACCACGACTCTGTTTCACGTTCAAATGCGTTTATGGCTCGTGGGTAGCTGGACTAAATGTAAGCAGTCACTAAAGCTGCAGGTCCCGTGGGGCTACAATAATCAGACAACCACGTCGTCTTTCGCAGACCATGAGAGATTCGCTCTCGTGCACGCGCTGTGCAGCGCAGCACAAAGGAGCAATCCGGGAATTTAAAAAAAATATTTGCTTTCAGATGTAGGATAAGGAAGGTTTCATCAGCCACTATTACCCGTCATAAACAGGAATTAACCCACCCGATATCATTTCATGTGCGGCACAATCCGGTTTGGTTTGGTTTGGTTTGGTTTGGTTTGGTTTGGTTTGGTTTGGTTTGGTTTTTAAGCAATGGGGAGAATTGCAGGTCCTTCTTTTCCTCTGGAAAGCAGCCATAATACAGCTGTCGTCTTGGTTATTGGCAAAAGTATTCTGCGTACAAGAAACGCAGCTTTTAAGAAAAACTGTCTTCAGGAAGGCCCAAATTCCTTTAGTTTGCAGAACTGTTCAATGTTTTTGAGATGGGAGATCAACAACTCTGCCTTCTGAACGCTCCACAAACAGATACCAAGGTATTTCTGTCTTACTCGTTTCCACGCTCTAAGCAGCCGCTGTTGCAGCCTCGTAGAACCACTGGGATTTGGATCCTACCAAATATCTTCATATTTTCAGAGCTGAGTACACAGCTCCTCATGGTTCAGTTTTGCGGCTAAAACATGGCTTTTGCATACAAACTTACTAAAAGACAGACATGCCTCAGTTCAGCTAGGCTTTTCCCCAAATACCTTATTTGCTACAGAAATGGCACTGCCATTTTCAGAGCAGACACAAACACTAACATCTCATTGCTACCCAAATCAAGATGTAACCCTCTCGCTCATGGCTGACGCGGAGCAGGAATAGCAAGAATACACCAAATGTTTTCATGAAAGAAGGTGTTTGAGATGAGAGTCGGCCTCCAGATCAAATGCAGTCACAAAGCAGCACTTGGTGTTTCTTAAAAACAAGCGGGACTCCTCCAACGCAAACATCCAAACACAGAACCAGCACGGAGCCGACACCAAAGACGGCATCCCACCGACGGGAGCCACAGCTCTGCTGGAAAAACAACACGCAAGTCTGCTCTGCGTGGAGGAAGTGACACAGTTCACTAAGTCAGCCCTTCTCGATCAACAAAAAAAAGCTCATTGCACTCCTACCTGACTCTGCAGCGACTATCTTAGCTATCTGACTCCGAAGGTGACTCAGCTCATCCTGGAGCTCCGTTGTTCGGCTCAGTGCTGGTAAACCAGGTTTCTTCAAGGCGAGCAGCTTCTCCTCCTGCTTCCTCAGGTTGGGGACTGAAGCATTTCGCTGTATAACGGTGAAGGGACTCGGCTTCCACTTGTGCTTCAGCGGGCGAGTGTCACTTCTGCAGGACAAAAACCTGTTGGTCATTTACAAGGTCCGGGCCCCTCCGTGACAACAACGCCCGGCAAGGCTCTGCCTCCACCTCAGGACAGCAGAAGCCTTCAACACAATGAATTAAGCCTCCGCGCCACTGTGCTGTGTGTACCGCCGTAGGTACCACCGTACAGGTGCCCTGGGCTGCTGTACGTGCTCTCCGTGCATTACAAGGAACGGAAAGCCCGTCACAGAAATCATGACCCAACAAGATGAGGTGAGAGGATGCAGGGACAAAAGTCTGGGCGTGTTCACCTGGTTTCAAGCCATTTCTCCCTGGTAACTGCGTCCCCGTGCCGGGCAGTGCGCGGGGTGCACGTGGGAAATGCCCCTCACCCGTTAACTTTTGCCTCTGATTTCAAAGTCCAGTTTATCTTTCACAAGATACCTATTACTACTGCCCGGCTTTAAGGACAAAAGCTCAACGGACCAGACCCAAACTCCTGGGGGCAGAACGTTTCAATCCCAGGAGAACTCAACTCTTCAACTTTCCAACCAGAAAACTGCAGGGATTGGGGGGTTACTCTGCACAGATCTTTCAGTGAATAAAATACGGCACAGCAGGGCCAATTTTATTTTTTTCCTGTCTCTTGGGAAAAACGTCTTTCAACAGGCACCAGATCAGACCTCGAGAGGACTGGAAGTTGTGAGCATTTGATCAACGTCTGGCCTGTGCTATGTGAAATAAACCAGCGCATAAAAATAAGGATCAGCAGACGCAAAGCGAAAACCGACCTGACTCTGGCGTACGTTTCTTCATCATCTGCCGCTATCCACACAATGTCCGCCAAGGTGGGGACTGGAGGGACGTCATTTAAATAGAGCTCCGAAACATTTGGTAGAACCTAAAAAGAAGAAAGTTGCATTAAGGTGACGGTGCCCCATCTCCTGCAGCCGCCCCAGATGTGCTGCACCGGCCGTCAGAGCCGTTCTCCTCTGCACCAGCTCGGCAGCTGCGTCTGTTGCGCGACAGCAACACCACTTGGCTTACGGAAACGTAGCGCTTCGTGTGTCGGCTTCTGCGCCTGTTCTTGGGCGTGCTGGTGTGCTCTGAGGGACTGGCCAGCGAGGCAGCGAAGGGACACTCGATACAGCTCAGCACGCTGCCAAGGCCACGTGCAACACATTGCCACTACAAGGCCTGGCCCTGTCCTTGAGCTCAAACAGTGACGTAAGCGTTCCCATAAGCCTTGTTTTACTGTTTAGGAAACGCAGGCCCAGAGGGCACGCGGCTTGCTGGAGGTCACGCAACAAGCACTGCCTCAGCAGCTCCACGGTTCTGTCTCCTCTAGTGTGCTATGCCAGTCCGTGGACACTATTTCAGGAGATACCCTCCTCAAGGTGCCACCGATCACTTCACAAGAACAGAATTTTTTTAAAAAAAAGGAAATTAAAAAAAAAAAAAATCTTAAAATGAACTACACTGCTACATGAGTTTTGTGAGTACAGCTCTGCAGACACACGTGGCTGACAGAACAGCCGCTCGTGACAGTGCCTCGCCTTGCTCAAGAGCGGCAGCGCCCTACACGCCATCGCCACAGCCCTCACGAGTCCGCTTACCTCAAAGGTTGCTCTGGGACAGGGCTTTAAAGGGAGGTTTGAGCCGATCCTCCTGACCACGCTGCGCGCGGAGCCGTGGGGTTTGTTCTGCCAGATGGGGATCGTCTACGAGAAGCCACGTGATATAATTAATATTTCAAACCAGTTGCCCTTCTTAAAACGTATTAAATTGGAAATTCTCCTATACAATCTACTCAAGAGCTCCGATCTCTGACTTTTTATTTGTTGAGTGATACTTGTAACTGGGAGCCTGCTAATAACTAAGGTCCTCACTCCATACAACCGTGTTTCAGCTGAACACACACGACAGCCAGTTACTACGGGGCGTTTTAAACACGGGGGCAGTGTTTTCAGGACCGAAAGCTAAAAGCACTCAGTGACAGACACTGAGCTCCAAAGGAAAAGATGCCAAAAGCAGGGAAACAGGGTCAGGTGAGGGGCCCAGAGGAAAAATTAAATCAGAAGAAAGTCTCATTTAAAGGAACGCTCTCCCTTCCACATTGTCTTTAATACAAGCAGCGCTGATAAGACTGTGAACGTGTTTTGGATGATGGCAAAGTGACAAGTGTATTCAAGGCCAGCTGAGGGCCGATGAGAACGGCCTCCGAGGGTGTTTTCAGCAACAGCAAGTGTTTTAGTGGTCTCCGGCTACGTCTGAAACGGGTTCAGAGGCGAAGAGCTCCGTCCTTTGACCGTCTTCCCCTCCGCCAGCTTTACGGCCGCCGCCGGCTCTCGTGACAGGAGGCAGCACAAGCCTCCGGACAGTGAATACCACCGTGACCAACCGGAATCCGAACAGGCGATTTCGCCCGGTCCGCCAGCAAATCCATTAATTTATTTAGCGCTGGGGCTTGTTTCGCACCCAATGCCTGAACGCCGGCCTTACGCAGGTAAATTTACGGTTCCTGATGTGCGTTTTAAATCGGATCTCTGAGCTGGGGGCGCGCTGACAGCTGCGACGGCCTCTGGCTACCGGCGGCGGGAGAGGCGGGGGGCCGGGGCC